AATTTTTCTGAGAGGCGCTCTTGCACGAGGTGATCCCAAGGCGTGCTGAGAAGCTTCGCATGGTTTCCGCACATGTGAAGTAGACAGGCAGCGTGTGACCCTGTCCAACCGTCACAATAGTGTTGCTCACCACTATAAGTCTACGGGTCTCTCCACGGGACCGCTACGGTGCAAATTGGTGGCGGGCGGTTCACCGGGCTACGGCGCGGAAATTCGGCTTTGCGCCGTGCCAGTTTAAATTACCGTGCGGGCCCTCTGCCCGAGTTTCGGGTGCAGCAGAAATTGCCCTTGGCAGCAAATCGCCCTAAAATGCTGAGCATTTTGCCCCAGTAATGCCCGGTTTAGCCTTGGTTCGAAATGCCCCGGAATGTTAAGGACCGACTAACGCAGGAAGTAACGCAGCAGTATGCTTACAAGGTAAAATCTACAAACTAGCTCTTGCACATTGCACCCGGTTGAAGCACATTTACATTCGAGTACTCAATTGTCTATGTGGTACAAGCGAACAGCTAACCGGGAGGACTTGCCAAACCGGGTCCACCTTTCCCAAAAAGCCTCCAGCTTGCCGATGACCGGGAAGATACCCGGCCACCTTGGTTTCATTTGAGCTGTACAGTATAGGTACAACATCCGGAAATATACATGTGCGGTATTATCGGACGGTTAGCAACTGCACTACCGCGGTAGGCTGCACCTACACCGTATAGTAGTACCGGTACAAGCTAAGTCGGTACCCACACTGAAGCTGTACCGGCATGTACTTGTTTGGAACCTCTCGCCCTTGAAACTACGGTAGTACCGTCACTGCGTGCGGCGGTGTCAGAAGTCCGTACAAATCGTTTGAACGGGGGTGATCACGTGCGTCTCGGATTTCAGAAGGTGATGTGAAAGTTTACTTATTCTCCTACAAGGAATGGTGGTCAAAAAAATGGCTTATTTTGCCCTACCTTGATAGCGAATCGAGCATGGAACCTGGCAAAAGCTTCATATGAGGCTACCAAACTATCATAGCCTGGATGTAAACACTCTACCCAATCAAACCCCCAAGTGTCCTTCTCTGTATCTTAGGTTTTGAAGCTCCTGTAAGCTTGTTTTCAAGGCTCAATTTTATGGCCAAATTGCTACAAAACTGGATTATTTGGTGCCAATAGGGCATATTTTCGGGGCGATATCCTACGGCCGGCGTCGTAGCACCCACAAACCGCCGCAAATTGACAAGTCGAAAAACGGTCGCACCGTCGCGAATTTGGGGGCGCCGGCTACTGTAAATTTTGAGTACTGCGGAAATTCCCCCGAACCGAATCTGCACCGTAGCGGTCCCGTGTCCCGTCCACTTGGCTCACTAGCCTACCAGGCTTACTAGCCTAGGTCACACACTCTCAGGCTCACTAGCCTAGCTCTCAGTCACACTCAATCTTAGCCTTCGATATCCTCATCTACAGCTAACACTGACGGCCGCTCTCAATCGCCTAACCTCCAAACCGCCTAACGGTTTAACCGTCCAACCGCCGTACACGCACGTCGGCGTTCACTAGTCCAAATCCTAACTCGGGCCGAACCCTGATCACAGTAATTCGGCTGACTATAATCACCGAATCTTAACAAACCTCGTCGAGGGTGTCAGGGTGAAGCCGAGTGCGTTTCAAGCGCTCAAAAGCTCGGTGTATGAGCCGTGCATCATGGGGAAGCAAACGCAGCAATCCCTCCCAGAATTGGAGTCGGTGAGCTTGGAGCCTCTTGACATGGACGCCTGCATTCCAGTGCCGGTGCCTTTCATTGGGGGCAGCCGGTACTTTGCCACGTTTCTAAGCGGCTACAGCAAGCTCTCGGTTAAAGTCCCCATGAAGCAAAAAGGCGAGGTGGCCACGGTGATCGAGCACATGATCAACCGGCTGCAATTGCAATTGAAGAAGAAGCACAAGTCGGTGGGGACTGTTAGAATCCGGTGATTATGGTCAGCCGGATTACTCCGTGATTAGGGTTCGGACCGAGTTAGGGTTTGAACTAGTGAGCGCCGGCGTGCGTGCACAGCGGTTAGGCGGTTAACCTTGGAGGTTAGGCGGTTGAGAGGGCCGCCGATATGGAGCCGTAGATGAGGATATCGATGGCTATGATTGAGTGTGAGTGTGATCTAGGCTAGTGAGCCTAGTAGTGTGTGACTTAGGCTGTGAGCCTAGTAGGCTAGTGAG